AAAACAGTATTTTAGCCAGTTTGGAGGCAGCCAGATAGTTCATAAAAGACTCAGTAACTTAACATGATCCTTCTTGTACAGAACTTGCTGTTCTTTGATCCAACTAACTCAATCCAGGAGGGCTTTAAAAGGAGAGAAATAAAGTGTTTCTAATTAAAAGTTTGAAAGAAAGTTTTCAGGAAAAGAAAAGAAAAAAAAAGAAACAGCAGAACATCAATGTAGAATTATTTAATTTAAAAAGTTTCCTAATTCTCCCCATGTTTCAACATGAAAGKTGGATCTGTGGCCAACTTGTTAAGTAGAATCACTTGGCTACTGGCCCACACACATGGGTCGCGAGCCAGTTTCTGCCCTCACTCCTTCAACTCTGATGCTCTGCAACGTGGCAAGGGGCGAGAGATGGAACCTGAGTGGGAACATTGCAAAACTGGCAAAATCCATGGTTGATTTGTTGCCATTTTTACAGCTGCTGGATGTTTAAAGTGGAGAGAGGGAAACAGCTAGGGATTTTAGRGAAAGGATGGTTCCAGACCTTTATTTCCTCAAAAGGGGGGTGACCAAGAGTAAAATAGTTTTTGAGATCTTGCATCTCGCGTGCATGCTTCTCCTTGGCAGCTTCCAAAGGTGATGAATTAGAGGAGGGGATTTTTGGTGTGGGAAAACAAAACTGGAATGACATTTCCTAAGTAGGTTTAGGCCAGGATAAAACTTTCTTGATCTTGGGTTTCACTACAATTTTGATCATTCTCTCTGGCATCTGGTGCCCATTTATAAGGTACAAAGTATGGAATCACTTAAAAGTATGCACAAGCAAATAGGAAATTTGTTCTAAAACAATGCACTGGGGGATTTGAATACAATGATTGACCCCGTCCTTGTTTGTCCAGCTAATGCTCACTTTGTTCTCCTAGATCTCATAAGATATTAGATTTACTTGCTAGGGAAGGACTGCAGGACTAGGAAGAACTAGAGAAAACAAAAATTTGTTGAGAAAAATTTGCCGAGAAAGCAGGAAAAGGGATTAGTGGAAAACTCTGTTTTTCTCTGGTCAAGCAGTACACCAGATATTTTTCAGCTATGGTTGCCTGTTTTTCTCTCCACCCTTGAAGAGCTCTTTAGATTACAACTGTTATCCTTTATTGGTTTTAYAGATCTGATTAAAAAAAAAATCTGAGAGCTGTACAGTCTATTTCAGATAACAGCATATCAGCACTGAAAACCACTCACCTCACAAATTCCCAACTACTGAAGAGATTTACCGTGAGTGGCGACAGCCCTAAGCTCTTCTGCTCTTGTCTTGCACATGCTCTCGTGCTGCAGGGCTTTTAGGTCTTGCAGGTGGATCTTGGGTGTATAACATAAAAGAGCAGGCAGGCGGCTGTGCCTCCCACTTCTGGGCAGTGSTTGTGGTCAGAGTGGAAATAAATGGTCAGGACTTCACAGTGCACTTTGCACTGGACCACTCTGAGACTGGAAAAGCAAGTGAAAGGCATGACTGGAAAGGGCCCAGAGACATTAAATGTGGGAGCAGATTTCCTTTATAGCTTTAGATGAACTGGAAGGCGTTTGCTGGTGGCCGGGTCCCTGTCATCTCCTTATCACCATATTCAAACATCTCTTCTCCAGAGCCTTATCAGGACAAAGAGGTTTCTCGGTGAATGTTTCGCACCAGACATTGTGCTGCAGTCCTTGAAGGGCACGGCGCTCTGGGCCCTTGTGGCTCCAGGTAGCTCATACTGACGTTTCCACTCACAGCCTTTCTTTATTCTGAAAAAGAAAATGCTCAACATGACCAAAATAGTCTTATTTTAGAAACAGCAAAATAAGAAATCTCTTTTGAATGCTAAACTGTTCCGATAAAGAGAGTTAAATCTTAGAAAAATTTCTTATGTCCTCAAAGCACCTTGATTTGTACTGGCCAGTCTGATTTTCCTGGGTGCCAGTTGGGTCTCTGGCCTTTACCTGTGTGAGCAGGAAAAACTTGGTAGGATGCTAAGAACTCCCTGTTTAGGTGCCTGTGCATGGGCAGATGTGTGCAGGCACAGCTGGGAAAGGGTGTTTTGCAGCAGAAAACGGCGGGTAGCCTTTCTTCTGCACCAAGGGGAATCACCTGTGGTCTCTGCTTTTCTATTCAGCCTGCTGTTTATTACTGACAAACAATTGAAATAGCTCACRTTTAAAGCGCTTGCTCATCTTAAAAACAGGACCCAATCACAGAGTTATTCTCTGAAAGAAGTTTTCAACAATAATTTACTTCACTGTAATATGAACAAGCTTGAGCTGAAACTTTTATGACCTATGACTTGTCAGCTTTTTCTTCGCAGACCTTAGTCTTTACTTTAGCACATTTTTTCATGATAATACAAACCAAWCTGTTTATTATTTTCAATTTAAAAAAGTAAAAAATATTGCATCCTCATGAAGATTGCTTCATTGTTGGGGCTCTTGGAGTGGCCAGTGCAATATATCATTGTTTGATCTGGCAGCACCATCTATTTAGAAGCTAGTATGTGTCAAACTATTTTTTTGGCAAAACTAAGGCAACACCTGGTTTAGTTTAGATCCTTCGCTATGTAATTCCAAACATCACTTGGTCCTCTTGGATTGAAAACCTAGGCTAGAATCCAGACTTAAGAGTGCTGCTGTCACTCATAAGATGCTCTGAGCCTCTCTTCTCAAGGTTCATGAGTTTTTTGGGTTTATTTTTTGGATTTAAGTTTAGGCATAAACCCAAATGGGCCACATGATTTTGGGAAGAGTTGCCTGGATAGACCAAACTAGGAAGCAGCGACGCCATTGAAGAAAGTTTGCTTTCAAAGAGAAGCCAGGTACTTTTGAAGAGCTGTCATAAAACTTGAGAAGATGGCAATGGCACCCCACGTGAAACTGTGCTTGCAAACAAGAGCTAGAGACATTTATTTCTGCAGTTGGGCAGGTTTAAAGGAGCAAATGATTAACTGACTGTTTCTAAAGAAGTTGAAGGRCTCAGTTAAATAACAGTCCAATAATGTCATTACAGAAATGTCTTTGTCATTTATTACTTTGGGCTCGCTAGAGCTGATAGAGGACATACTAATTCAGAATTTTATTTCAATACAATTTCTTTTTTTGAATGATTTGCTGTTAAGCAGAATTCATGATGTAGATGAGTGTTTCTTGGATATAAAATTCAAGAATTTATATTTTAAGATTCATACTAATTTCAGCTGTAACTGTTTACAGGCTTCCTAAAGGCACTGGGATCCTCACTGCCAAGTACCTGGCGTGGCGGGAGCGGCRCTGCACACGCTCAAGCAGGTGCCTAAATGTGGCACTGAAGGCAAGAAAGATGACAGCTCTGCAGTGAGAGACATAGAGAGACAAGGGTAAGGTAAGGAAAAAAAAAAATGTAGCTTGTCCGTGAGTAAATGCACATTAAATGTGCATGCAGGTTAAGGACAGCAGGCAGCCTCCTGCTGAGGTGCCCTGGCTCTGCATTGCCAGGATTTGGCACTGCAGGTGGCTCTTCTGCTGCTAGTCCCGAGCACTGTCGTGAGTGCAGGCTCGCTGTGGTGACAAATGGAGGTCACAGAGATCAGGCACAAAGCTGACCACCTAGGATGATTTAGACCAGCCAACCATATGCCTTGCTCCTTGTTGAAGCAGTGCTTGTGGTCCATCCTGCCCAGTGGCATCATGCCATGGCATCAACAGGGTCTTCGCCCTTTCCTTTCTGGTGGATCTTTTCTGGTTGAACAGAAGGACTCCTCTGCAATGAGCTGACCAGTTGTCTAAATAGGCCATCTTCATTATTTTCTCTTCATCTTCCCGGTGATGGAAATAGGTGGTCTGAAAAACAGAATCCAAGTGAAATGGTTCATGCCCAGAGCAGCTAAACAAACCTATGCTTTAAGTCCAACAACTTTCATAATTTATCTTGTAATGTAAGCCAATGCAGTAGYGTAAGACCAATTTACTTCAAGCTTTCAAGGGCTAAGGACCTGTATATTTAGCCACTTAAGTACGCAGAAGTCAGCAATGACCAGAGCCTCAGTGACCTCGTGTCTCCTATTAGGCAAAGTCCTGTTGTGGCAGCCTGCTTTGCAACACTCCCTGGTAAAGCAACCTTGACAACCATCTGGGGAAGGGAAACGGAACTGGATTATGCATAAAAGAGTGGTTATTAATGGAAGACAAACACCAAAGTAGAGAGCAAACCTCTGTATCCTCATTTCTCATATTTATTAGATACTCAGTTGTGCRGTAAATGAAGAGCTAGGCACCCAAAACTGGGGTGGATGATAACAAGGAAAAGGACTACAAAAGCTGCCAGGGGAAACATCAAAGAAAAATGTTTCCCCTGAACCTACCTCATGTTATTCACAGTAACTGCAGGCTGTAGGGAACCAGTTTTATGAGGTTGTGCTTGAAGTCCAAAGCAGGTTGGTGCATTTTGGTGTTGAGTGGTTCCCGTAAATAGTCTTTTAAAATACAGCCAAATGAAGTCACAGTAGTGCCTGTCTTCTCCATGATAAACCTCAAGTTACAACACTTGGTGAGATGTGTAAGAAGTGAGTTTTAGGAGCTGCTTTAGCTCAAAGGCAATTTCTAGTCCTCCTCTCCCAGCTGTTGAAGCTGTCAGGGGCCAGAGGGAAGGAATGAGAGGGTATTACTCGAGCCACAGAGCATGACATTCCTTTGGCTTCTAGTAGTCCCCATTCCTAAAACTCTGTACCTGCTTCACACTGCGAKACTCTAATGCAAAACGCAGAAACTGTCCAGTTACACAGGGGCTCTGTGTGTTCCCTCTTTTTCTTCTGGTATCCAAAATCCATCCATGCAGCTTGCACTGTGGCACTAAATACTTCACTCAGCATTACCCAAAATATTTCTTTTCTACTGAAGATACCAAGTATCATCTTCCTACTAGCTGAATGTCTTCTCTGATAARGTCATTCCTTTACTTATTTGTCTACTGGCAATCCCATAATGAATGGGAGTTACACAAATGGGCATGATAAGCATCTTAATTGAAAGTCAGGTAGTAATAATTGTGCCAACTCAATCTCTGATGATTAAAAGGGACAATGTTCAAATTTGGAGGGGMTGAATAGCTACATAAGCTAAGAAGCCAGGGAAAAAAGAAAGAGAACTTCATCAAGTTTTAGAAAGCTTTATCAAGGTTCAGTAAAGGGGCTCCAGCTTTTGGGTTTTCATTAGAGGTTCCTTCCTGTAACTCGTGCAGAAGTAGTGGGAGGAACCTCCCACACAGCATCATTTCATTCAGCATGCAGTGGGGCTGAGTTCTTAGCCAGTAAGAGGAAGCAGGACGTTGTGGATTGGGAATGTTTCACATTGGCTCTGCGTGGTGTGAACACTCAGTGCCTGACACAGTGAGACTTCTGGGTTTGTCTCTCCCGTGCACGTAGTAACTGGCAGATGCAGAACATTCCAGCTGCTTCCTTAAAAAAATAAAGACACAATCATGAGTATCGTTTACTGGTTTTAAATGAAATACTTGATTCAGACTGAGATAGAGCTCTTTAAAGAGAATAATAGTGACTTTAGTAGATTATTATTCTATAAATGTGAACTCCTTGAGCTGTTTCTTAAACAGTTGACAGTTGACCTTTGAAGGACTTGAATGTCTTTCAGCCTCCCATATTTCTGTGCTTGCCAGTTTTAAGGACCATAAGACCTTTTATTATTGAAACCTAAGGTCTCTGAATCATCAATTGACCTTTAACTCTGCAGGACTTTGCTCAAAAGTTGGTATTTCTTGGAAATAACATGCCAGCACTTACCTAATACACAGATTCATAGCAATAGCATTCATAGTAACAGAATGGCTCTAAATACTTGCCTCAGGCTTCAGAATGCTCTCCAAGCTCCACTCCATTACATATATTTGTTCTGCTCCCTTGAGACTTCTCTGCCTCCTGTTTTACCTATTCATTACAACTAATGCAATCAATTCTGTATGTCTAGCATTGACTTCCTAAAGACAGGGAGGCCCCAAGGATGAGTCATGTAGCTTCTCTTCCATATGTGATATGGTCCCACCCAAGGGTCCTTGATGCTCCTGGACACTTGTTACCTGAACTAGCTGTACTGCTACCTCCACTTCTCTACACATCATGCTAAAAAGCACAGCCTAGGCCAGAGGTGGAGGCAGAGATTTGTTTTAGGATTGCACTACACACAACAACCCAAGCTAGTAGATTCTGCTTTTTATTTGGTGGTAATCCTCATCAATAGCTGCTAAATCATTTACAGAAGAAAAATAAATGGGAAGAAAAATTCACATTTATATTCCAGCTGTGCAAAGGGATCTTGGGTTTTCCCCCCATCGTCCCCTCCCAGCACTTGTCAGCGGTAGAAATTTGTAGTAATAAAAGCCAGACTTATTTCCAATGCAGGTGTTCCTAGAGTGATTGCAATCTTTCTGATTAACTGCATCTTCAAGAGAGCTCATCATTACAAGCAAGGCAGAAGTTATAAAAGAAGGTGCCCTCATAGCAGTGAGCTTGCAATTAAAATAATATTGTAGGCTCTGAGCCTCATGGGGCTGCAGGGCGAGCTTGGCATACATGAAGCGAGTGCTGAATGTGTCTTTATRGCACCCAGACCCTATAGCAGCATCAGGGCCTGGAAGAGATGAGACAGCTGATGCAGTTAGGTAGTGCTGACACCCAGCCTGGGACATTCAGCTGCATTACCAAGACATTAAGGGCCCTCTTTGAGCCCCTGCAGGCTGTGCTAAGTCACCTGCCTCATTAAGAAAAAGGCTGCAGAAAAGTTAAGCACTGATCTTGTGAAAATAGCATTTTCCTGGTTGCAAAGAGTCCCTAGAACAGCTTTGGAGACTGGCATCTCATTTCCTCACACAGAGGAGGCAGCAACATAATGTCTGGTGCATTATAAACCAAGTGGTCTCACCCTGTGCCTACAACAACAAAAGCTAATTGAGATGTGAATTGATTACACCAGRGCTCGTGACTAAGTCCACATTTTCTTCTAGCCTTGTAATTGAGATGCAAAATATCTGCAAGTAGCTGTTGTTCCAAGCTGCAGTTTAGTGAGAGCAGGATATATTTATACATGTAAAATGCGTTTGCTCTACCCTGTGTAGAGATTGTCRCAGTTTTTATGGCTGCAATCTGTGTTGTCACATGAAGGTGACTCATGGAGATGTGGAGTGAACCTCAGCTTTCCTCYGGCCATCACGGTCCTCCCTTCTGCTCACCATGGTTGCTGCTGGCAGCTCCTACAGGGACCAAGCCCTTTGGTCACACCTGGATATTGCTCCTCGCAGCAAGGTTTTGAAGTGAGAAGTTATTCCCATAGAATCAGGTGATTGCAATAGAGAATATTATGGATTTCATCCAAAACCTTTGTGAGGATTTGAACCCAGTAGTCCCTGTCCAAAACCCTGTYTTTGAAGTCCTCCATCATGCTCCATGGCTTAGAACCAAATGTTGCATGAACACGTGGCACAAAATTGCATGGGTCCTTCTCAACTAGTGGCATGACAGAACTTTGCATTTTGCATTATTACTTGCAGAGACACAACTGGAAGGAGCCCTTCAGTGAGATGCATCCATGAAGTAGATTAAAGATTGTTTTTGGAGGAGATCCAGTTGTAGAAAGAAACTTTGCCARATCAGCTTAGGGAAAAAGGTGACCAAGATGTTTAAACAGAAAAACTGTTCAGCCATCTATGCAGCTGGCTCAGCCAGAGAAACGGTCATTCCTAGGTAATTTGAAGCAAATATATATATATGTATATATGCTGACATATACTGCACAATCCTTCTAGCTGTCACCATTGCTCTCACTGAGAGGTCTGAAATCCAAGGGTATTAGGAAGGAGGACTCAAGTCTAGAAATTCAGTTCCCTTCTTCCTCCCAGGCTAATCTCCCCTTTGCTCACAAGAATCTTTGGCTTTGGATATTGCTGCACTCTTGTTTGTGCAAGAGGAGATTCTTTCCCATCCCCTGATGGGCTGCCTCGGTTCTTTGCCTTCAAAAGCCAAGCCAGATATCCCTTGCCTCATCACGTGCCATGGAAAAAGAAGAGCCTCTAGGTTTGATGAACCTAGTTGTGAAATCCACAGGTGGGGCTTCATCAACAGGCAAACATCAGCACAGACCCACAGCATGTCCTTGTGAGCAAAACACTTCAAATGCCCCATTCTGCATTCATTTGCCTTGTGGGACCTGGCCCTGGCAGCAAGGTTTGTGTTTGGTTTGGGAAGGAAAAGGAGAGGAAAAAATCTGGGCCCTTGGAAGCACTTGCCTGTGCACCAGCCTGTCACTACGGGAGCGCAGCGGGACGTGGCTGCTCAGGATCTGGCTTTCCCAAACAGGGGTAACCGGAGGGTTACACTGAGCCCCAAGTGCTTGTTCTTCCACCATGCCCTGCACTCCTCACCCTCCAGAATTTATGGTCATCCAGTCACATGTTAAAAAGATTATTGGAAAAATATGTAAATGAAACTTAATAAGTATAGCAGAGTGGTGTAAAAGCAGACTTCTTAGCAACAGGATCCAAGGCTCTGCACATGCTACATTTCTCTTGCTGGAAACACCATCAAAGAGCTTTCCAGGGCTGCAAGGCCCAGATGGATTTTACATTTCTAGGCACCAGCTCTGAGCCAAACCCGAATTCACAGGTGAAGGCACAAGGGGGTGCCTCAGTTGCACGATTGAATCCCTCATGGCAGAATGAGGATCTGGGTCCCAGGAGAAGTGCAGGTCTCCTCTAAAAGGTGGTTTACAAGAGGAGTTTGCTTCAGCCTCCTGCCTTTTTGATAAGGCCAAAAAACAGGTCAACAGAGCTCAGCTTCTGCAGAGGGGATGCRATGAAGCTGCTCCTTTAGGTGGAACAGACCCGTTGCAGCTCCTTCTTCCTCCAGCCCCATTGCAGTGTTTTCTTTCCAGGGGCAACATTGCTGTTTGACAACAGTCCACAGCACAGTGCTCCAACYTTGTTCTTTTCTCCCATTGCTGGCAAAGAAGTTTGAGACATAAATAGTAGGAGAGCAGGACCATGAGGATACATTGCCTGCCYGAGCCATGCAGGTGGTGCAAGCAACAGGACTGAGGGCAAAGGGTGGATCTCACCTGCCCTTGGCTCCCTGCCTTCCCCATGCAGGCTGTGCTTTCCTGAGAGCAGTCGTCTTTCTGTGCCACTGGCAGAGGGAACTGGATCTTTGGGTATATTCAGGCACTTGGCGGGGGGGGAGGGGGGGGGAACTGCTAGATTGGCAAAATGTGGAAGTGAATAATATTTAAACAGCAGACACTTGAGCACACTTGACCTAATGCTGAGTGTGGGCTGCAGAGCCAACTTGAATTCCCGAACAGAGGCTGCCAGGAACCTGGCTGGCTCCTGCACCAGGGGCACCACTACCCTCCCTGCCTGGTGCCACGGGCACTTGCCCACGGACTGCCCAAACACCAGTGCCCTCTGCATCAGGAACGGGGCGCTGGGAGCTGCTGCTGCAGGTAACAGAGCAGGCAAAGAGCGACCGGRGGAGACGAGGCAGGGCTGCCGACAGCACTGCGCGTGGGCACGCCAGGAATTCTGCTCTGCACGTTTGTCCACTTGAACGGGAACCTGATGGGTGTTTTCAAGTCACCTGAAATCTGCTCTTTGGAAACCTCAAACTGAGACCACCTTAAAACACACACACCCTCAAACAATAACAACAAAACCAGCATGCAACAGAAGGCTGAAGGGAGGAAGGCTGAACAGAGGCACCACCACAGTCTCTCCTGGCAACCCATCCTTTCCAAGCCTGCTGCTCGCCACGCTCACATGGGGCACTTCATCGAACATTTCCTGACTATTTGCCCAGGATTCCATAAACGCTCTGCAAATAGCAGGATCCCACCTGCCGCTTTGATCCATCTGGCTGCAGCGCRTTGGGGCACACGCCAGAGGCTGATGGAGTCCCCTGGGACACGCTCCGTGTGCCAGGCCCTCCAAAGGGTCCAGCTGATGAAGGATAGCACTAACATTGAGCAGCTCTCCTGGCACATTCTCCAGGCRTCCCTCCCAGCAGCCTGCCTGCCTTCTAGGAGATAACCCAGCACAACAGCACATTACCTCATTAAGAAAGCGAGCTCTAATTGGAAACAGACAGGGCATCACCTCCCTTGTRTTCACTTGAGGGTCCACCCTGCCATTTAAATTCCTCTTTGGAAGATTAATGTCTATACACTGAAGAGTGACGTTCTCAAGTGCAGTGTTGGATGGGATGACAGCGAGCAGCAGCAATTCAGCTGGGGTTACRGGGCCTTCACACATTCATGCTGCACTCCAGAGGGTTTTGTGCAGGGGAATCACAGAGATACCAGCTTAGAACAAAGGGTTGATTTAGTCCCACACCTGTATTAATATCACCCAGGCCTATCATTTAGTATATGYCTGTGCCAGAGAACTGCACTCATTCAGAAGCATCAAGAGCCACTCACAGGACATCCACGGCAGAGTCCTCTGCCACATCCCATCTCCTTCCCTCCTCRCTTCCTCCCACTACTGGGTTTCAAAGTAGAGGAAGGCTGGGCAAGGGATGAATGTTGCTGGCCCCTRCATGAATGGAAAGGGAAGGGAAAAAATGAATCATATCCATGAACTCACAGCTCAGTTTTCATGGCACTCTTCTCTTTCCTGATGACTCTATGGTTTATTTTAAACCAAAAGTCTTAGGTTCAAGAATGACTTAATTTGGAATAATTTGAAGCAAGCCAGTAGCATCATTTAAGTCACTTAGTATTTATTTAGTCTTTTCCTCTCCTTTTATTCCTACAGAATAGTTGGCCTAGAGCTCTGTCATAATCTGTATAGAATTYGCATCATAGGAGCAGCCCGATACAGGGGATGACTTCTCAGCTTCAGGATTTTATTGCCACCACCTGATAATTCTAACCCCCCTGTACTGCAAGCACTGGTTCTACCCAGTTACTCAAAACAACTATGACAAGTTATGATTTCTGTGTTAAATGGCCATGATTTTTCATTGATACCATTGTCTGTGAAGCCATGAAAAACTTGCTTAGCAGCCAGCTACACTGAAACACCTATACAGAACAAAATACATGTTTTGAGTTCTCAGAGACAAGCTAAACAGTAAAGTGCAGTTGCTTCTGGTAGAAAAGGCCTCCTGAGAGGTTRGGAAAGGGATGCACGACGGACGGAAACGTGCTCAGCCATCTCGTGGGTACAGCCTGGCCTTCAGCTCTCAATGCTTCCTTTCAGTGAAGGCTTTTCTGCAGCCCTCCCTATCCCTCTTCCTTCCCAGACGTCCTCTGAAGAGGCACCTCAACAGGCCACTGAACTTAACCTGTCTCCAGCTGTGACCTAAAGAACAGCCACCTAATGACAGGGAAGCACAAGCAATAAATTCAGGCCACGGTCCTGCAAGCTGGATTTGCTAGCACTTTGTGAAGAGTGCTAGCTATGCCTGAAGGGAAGATGGGGCTACAGAGCTGCTGTTCAAGAGTCCATCTAAAGCAAAACATCAAGAGCCACTCAATATAATCTGGAGCTTAATCGCACATTTAGTGGAAACAGGTAACCTGAAAGATAGCAAGTAGTTTGCTGTACATGTTTCTCCCCTAGCAAATGTTTGGCCCARAACCTATGCAAGGGAATTGCGATTTCAAACTGAGATACTACATTTGGCTCACCTTAATGTGCATGTGGGGACATAAGAATGGGTCTTGCTGGAAAGAGTCAGTTTGAATGCTTGCCCAAATATCAGTCCCCAGTGGGAAGGTTCAAGAATGATCAGGTGCAATCAAAGAAAATTTCTTTTTTCTACACTCCTTAATTTCCTGGTTGCAATATCCAAAGTGAGATTAGCAAGTTCTCCAAGCACATCTGTATCCTAGCAAGGCCCAGAAAATCAGGAAGTTGTGGAAGAATATGAGGAGAACCTGTTATCAGCTGCAGACCATCAGTCTAGTTAAGCAGGGTCCCTCTCAGAGGAGGGCAGAGAGGCTTAGCAAAGCCACATTASAGCTGGTTTTGTCAGTACTTATGGCACAATTTCGCTGGGTTCTCAAGACCACGTGGGGCTGTAAGGGCTGCTCCTACATCACCATTAATGGTGGTCAGACTTGCAGAGAAGTTCAGTCAACTCATTAAGCCTTCTCCCTTCTGCAGATATGATCAGAAACAATTCACAATGCTCTAAAGGGTTACGGGCTTTGAAAAAACCAAACCCGGGCAATAAATGACTCTTGCAGAGTATTCTAAAACTGAAATATTCATAAAAGAGGAAATCCTAAAATCCACTATTCACACATGTTAATAACAGAGTGGAAATGGCTTTTAAAAACGACTCAAGCTCCGTCTATGCTGCATCCTGTTTAATAGCTCCTGAAGAGATGTAAGTTTGGAAGCAGAGCWATGCAGACTTCTCTCCTTTAGGAAGACTCACAGCTCTTCCCAAGGCAGCACCACTTGACCTGCCTCAGAGTCCCTGTTCACCCTCTGCTTAATGCTTATTTTCTACCTCCCTCAGATAATAGATAATTCTCTGGGTTGAACAGATTAATCTGCATCAAAGGCAGACTGTGAACCAGGGCAGTGTTCTCATCCTCATTGAGGTACAAGGAACAGCAGTGCCACCACAGATCAGGCTGCTTGCAGGAGTGGAAATTGCTGGTGTAAAGGATCAATCTTAATGATCTCAGCAATGTATTCAGGTAGATGGTTTATTTCGCATGCACACATCTTATGTTATACTTCTGCCCCTCAAAAAAGCCATCTCTTTTCCAAATTCATCTTGTTTTGCTAATAAGCTCTTGCTCCTCTCTTCCATCCTGCCATCACACTGTGATCACATAAACTCTAGTCATCATATAGCAATTCCTAAAACATTGTATTTTCCCTTCCAGAACCAGTTCATCTTCTGGCACTCAGCCACCTTCATGCTGAAGTACAACACAAGGCATTTTTTCTTCATTGCTCATTAGTTCCTCTGGTAGATAAGGCCGTTTTTTTCCTCAGTAGCTTAATGCAGCACCAGATGCCACTCCTTCAGTGCACTGTGTTTCAAGCTAATTGCTTACAGCTCCTTGCTGTGTTACAGGTAGGATACTTACTACGCTTGCAGGAAGCCTGTAAGACTCCTGAATTAGGACTTTGCTTTCATCTAATATAACAGATTGATTCACTGAACCRATCTTCCCCAAGGAAGGCTAGGACATTTGCACCACACTCTTGGCTTAGAGTCTTCATACAGTTAACCCAGGCCCTTRCTTTCATTCTCAGATCATTGCAGTAGAAGAGACTCCATAAACTGTCCCAACAGATCCACAATTTCAGAAGAGCCACAGCTCAAAACACCTTACCTGCACATGACCTTTATGCTAAAGATCACATTTCAGAAGCATCTAATGCAGTAGTCTTCAAGAAGCTGGTACAGAGCATTTCCTTACACACAGGCTGGTGCAATCAGAAGCCAAGGAATGAAACGGAGCAAACGCAACCCAACTGAAATGCTTCCTGAGAGCAGAACAAGATAGACTCTGGCAAGTCAATAGCAGGTGGCAAGTTGTCTTATTTAGGGCTACCCTCCCAACCCAGGYGTTGGGCAGATCTAACTTTTCAATGTACTAGGAGACACTCTTTTTGTAGTCCTATTTACTTCACTCATCAGGGTAATTGGTTTCAGCTGAAATCAGCCACAATCCTTCATGCCTCCCTCTTGGCAGACCACGCAGACACCTGCAGTAACCAGGCAGGCCTTTTAAGCTCATGTTAATAGATTTGGCTGGCAAGCTCCAAGCTTCCAGGAATGCTGTATTAGCAAGACCTCTACAAGYCCTTTTCCCTTGTAAAGGGAGGAAATCTCCCAAAGGAGAGAAATCTCTTTTGAACCTCTGACACCTCACAGTAATACCTGTCATATTGCTTGAAATCACACGAATGTCCATTGCCTTGGCCTACAGTGTTGTGCTGAGTTACTTCAGCTCTGCCAGCATCTGACAGGCAGAATAACCTCCTGTACCTGCACATAACACTGATGCAGATACTGCTCCTTCCAGCTTAAAGCTCATTTAAATGTAGCCAGATATTTTTGTTAACTTCTTGTCCTGCAAGCTGAAGTCTTTAAAACATGTAAGGCTTCCAGAGCTGAGCCTAGCATATTCTTTCTCAAGCCCTGGAAAATGAGAATTAAGCAAGTTCCCTGCTGAGAGTCATTACAAAACCAGAAGCAGTTCACAACAGACTGAATTAATTCCCTTGGGATGTGGTAAAGCCCATCTTCCACCCTGCTCAGGCCTCATTCAGGATATTCAGACTTGTCTTGGCATTAACCGATGCATTTCTTAAGAGTTTTAAGAAAAACCTTTTCCAGAAGAAGACAGGTCAAAGTGTTGCTATCTCGACCCTGCAATAGAATCAATATTCAAAAAAGTTGGGGAAGTTTGATGGTTAATTTGAGTTTCTAGCTCTGTTGCAGGCAGGATTTGACACAGCTGGGCCTGGTTAAATAAGAAACTTGAAACTGATACACCAGCACAGGCCTAAACATTAGCCTGGGCTAATGACAAGAGATCTCTCTCCTCTCAGCACCAAAGGTAACAGTCAAAATAGTCTTGGATGGCTCTTACTCACTGCCAAATCTGAGCTGTTTCAAGCTATACTGTGAAAATCCCCTTTGCATCAACAACCACGATTTTAACCTGCAGCAAGTAAATCGGGCAGGGCTCCTGACCGTAGTTTCCCTCTGGTGCTCAGACTCCCAGTTTTATCTCTGACTTTTCAATTCCCACAATTCCCTTCCAAGCGSGAGAGAACTATTAAATTTCCCCACAAGCTTCCAGAACATAAACACGGCACTAACCTTCAGATAGAAGAATTAATTTGCCCAAGAAAGCTTTGCTAGGGAATGAATCAATTCCTTACTGTAGAATGAGAGTTTAGCCACATAAACTCACTTTGGGGCCTGTAGAACAGGATATGAACAAGAACGAAACGTTAAAAATATGAGTTGAGAATAAAAGCTCTCCCTAAATCTCCCTTATTGTATAAGCTGCTATGAATTAAAGCCCTTTCAGGCTGAATTTTAGTCATCAACCTAATTATTTAGGAACATTTTCCAGACCAGTGTTTTTTACAAGTATTTTAACAACCTGCAAATCAGGAAACTGTAAATCAGGGAAATGCACTGAAATCAGCCATCACAAGGCAGGAGGCCCCCGGCTTAGCCCCTGGCACCGCAAATGAAACGACAGCCGTTTCTGCCCTTGCTGGCAAGGGCTGAGGCCTCTTGCTGGAGACGCCTGAGCTAAAAGCCACCAGAGCCGGGGCCTTGAGTGGCAGGGGGCGTTTGGTGACACTCAGGTCCCCTTCTTGCTGCTGGAGAGGGGCACAGCAGCACCCGGGGTTTGGCATCCTCTCCTCCGGGCGGAACAAACCGAGAACCAAAAACCCTTTGCAAACACCTGCTTTTCCCCAGAGCGAATGAGTTCAGCTGCACTCACTGCATGTGCTGAGCTTGAACAAATGAATTGGCTGTGGGAAGAGAAAACTGAAGTGTTGCGCTATAAGGTGACAGCTGTGTGGTCTGCAGAGCACCCCGTCACCAGCCAGGAGCCCCAGCAGAATGCAGGGCATGGAGAATCCTATTTCATGTTACAGACATAATCTTCATTTTTTGCTTTTTCATAGCCAATTGAGACAGTTTATTCTCCCGAATTCAGGTCTGGAAAACATTTTCAGTTCTGTTTTTGCAGGCATGGTTAAATGTCTGCCCTCAGTTTTAGTGGTGAGCAATCTGTTCAAAAGGCAGATGATGCCTAACCTTTGGTAAAAGATTCATGTACCAGAAACCGAAAAGAAGAGATCCCATCTGTCYTATTCTCATGATACAGCGGAAAAATGAAGCCAGTGAGGTCCCTGTGCTATTCTGTCTGGAGCAAAGTGGCAAGATTAATAGCTTTCCTAGCAGTAAGTGACAGCACATAGAAGCTTAGGCTCAGGGGCTGCATTACAGGCCTCCAACTCCTTGTGTCATCACAAACATGACAATTACTGTTGACTAAAAGACATCATGGGTCTGAGCACTCTGTTCCAAGAKATTCAATACTTCTGACAAGCAAAACCCAAAGATATTTTTGAAGATATTTTCAAAGCTATTTGTGCAGAGCACCAGCTTCCTAAGGCTAAGGCCTAGTATCTAAAAGCAGCTCTTGAGATCTTGTCCCTAAGCTTAACTCCTGACTTCTGAGCTTCAGTTTCACCATGTGCAGAGAACCTAGAGCCTTCCCCAGCCACCTGGAGAAGTGCTTCTGTTTGTGGTGAGCTGAAATTTCAGAGAATTAATGCAGAATTAATGTTTAGGGTAAGACAGCAACCAGAAAAATAGCTGTGCCAGAGACATTAAGATTTGCTACAGGTATTTTAACTAGCAAGGAAAACAGCAGCATGATACAGCTGAGGCATTTGCTAAAGCAAGACAAGCAAGGAACTTACAGATCCRTACAGTGATGCAAGATGTAAAGATGCGGCCTGCCTACATATGGCTAAGGAATCTGGTAAAGCAAGACAAACAGGGAGCCTATAGACCACCTCCACAGTGGCGCAAGACATAAAGAAGCAGAAGGCCTTTTGCAAGGAAGGAGAGGTGACTGCTGCTGTGGTACCTCCCTCAGGSTGGCGTTCAAACTTTTCCTTTGAGATAGCAACTAAAATTCCCACATGACTGAGGTCTAAAAGCACTAAGAAAACACTAAATTTTACAGTGAGATGTATAGGTCTAGTGAGACTTAAGGAGATGGCTTTTTCACCAGCTTGCAGCCCTCAAGTGTCTCAAATACAACACAGATCACATCCTGTGGGAAGAAGGGGAGAGCACGTTACACTCCAGAGCCAACCTTCCCTCCTGCAAACAGAGCCTTTTCCTCAATGGCCTGCCGAGCTGTAGCCACTGAGCAGGTCTGCAGGTACTGCCCAGGATGCTCTTAGGCAGTGCAGTCTAAGGCAAAGATGCTTTTAATAAGTAAAAGGATTTCTTTACAGAWAATACATGCCTTAAAAAAAACCCCAAACAACAACCAACTGAGAATAAAACAGCAAAGGAAAGCAGAAAAAAACGTATTTTATTTCCTTCATGGCTCGTACTTACGCAAGACATCAAAACAGGTTTTTCCCCCCAAAAAGAGCAAAGCCCTGCAGAGCCACTGCTCCCATTCACCCTTGGCCGTGAGCACACGTGGGGAATGTCTAAAAGATGAGTTCCATGAGCAAAGAGACTGAGATAGAGAAAGGAGGAGAGGAAAAGCAAAAGAATAGGCTCTATGAGTCTTATTCATTTTTGAATAATATTATCCCTTGTAAGAGCCTGAGAAGAGTTTTTCTATTGTTTCTGAGGGGCTTTGTGGTTTTTCTTATTCTATCTCTGGAGTTTCCCTTTGGCTTTGCAAGTTTCTAGGCTAGCACAGAATAGGTTAGTGTTCCTACAACTAGATGGTGGCTCTCTCCACTGAATTTCCTTCTGTGAGGAAAAAAGTAGTAGGGTTACCAGGAGGGCTGGCGGCAATTTCTTAAACACTCTTTTGAAGGGAAGCAAAAAATCATAGCAAATAACCCATACAAAGCCATTCAGTGGCCTCATCTCCTTGTGCAGGCAGTCAGAAGTGCTGGCAGCTGCCACGAGGAGCTGAAAAAAAAAGTCATCTTTATACTCCAGGCATCTTGAAATCAAATAATATGTGCACACAAAAGGTTTTCATTTTGGAGCTATTGTGCCTGGCCTGTTTTGGAGGAGGGGAGAAAGAGACCTATTGTCTCTTGAAAAGCAAAACAGTGGCCTGGTTTTAGTTCTGCAGGAATGGAAGGGGCTGTGTGCTATTAGCTGACAGCAAAGACATCCTCTTTGCAGGGCTTGCTCACTGCTCCACTTAGTTTGCAGTTGGCAACTGCCAAATCCCCACAGGGTAAGAGGCCTTGCACTCCAGCTGTTGGAGAAGTCCTATCCCCCACTGCTCAGCATGATAGCAGAGTAATAAACACATCATTTCTAATAGGAAAATGATGCTTGCAGAAACAAATGGAGACTGGCTAGCTCACCGGGGAGGGGGCTGTGGGAAGGACAAAGGCATCCTGAGCAAGCTGGGGATGGGGCCCTTCTGCCAGAACCGGAGCGTCACCGAGTCCCTCACATCCAGCAGCTTCCCAGCATTTGCAGTGGTTATCTCCATCCTGTTAGACTTCTGAGTGACCCTGCAATTCTTTATTAAGTGAATCTTTAGGAGCTTTCTAGGGGAAAATACTTACGTTTTCAGGGAATGACCGTAAGTTTTCTCAATGCCTCCCTTTTGTCTTTGACGTCTTTTTTTTAATTCTTATTTTTTTTTTTTTATTCAGAAGCAATTATTACCCCCATCCCAGGGCTGTGAGCACAAAGTATCCAGACTATTTGAGATCTATGTTTGTCAAAATTTTTACACTGCTCAGAACTGTGAATACAGAACAGTTGAATGACACCTTTATAAGTCAGATTTTCATCATACCATCTTGGGCAGGTGCTCCCAAAATGTATACAGGAAAGACTGTACTGATACTGTAAACTCTGTAGTTATTTC